CGCCCAAATGTTCACGCAAAGAAAGAAGGCATAACTTTTATACTCGCTGTAGTATTGTAAAAGAGGACACGACTAGAAATCAGTGGTTAAGTTGTATTTACAACACTGTTCCAGAACACTTCAACCCAAATATTCAGATGTGTGCAGCACATTTTATGGAGGACCGTTTCCTGATCCTGGGAGAGTAGACTACAATGCCGGCTGTTCTGACTCAAAGACTGTAAGTACGTTTTTTATATTTAAAGAGTTTTTATATTTTATATATTTAAAGCAAGTTTTTTGGGCAGTGTAGAGTAGGGCTTGTTGTTTGTCATTTCTCCGATCACAAATGCAGACATGGTTTTATGTTTACGCGGCGCGATGCAACGAATGAACAATTATGTCCCCACTGGATGCAACGAATGCCTCGTTTATAATGGGTTTTCATGTTTTTGAATCATCGCTCCGGCCTGACAGGGCATCATCACAATATGGTAAGGGGCGTAATATTTCCGTCACACGCTTGAGGTATTCGGCCAATCACAACGCACTGGATAGCTGGCCGCAGCACACCTCACTTTTCAGACCGATGAGCTTTGTAAAAATTGAGGCGTTTCAGAAAGGCGGGGCATAGAGGAGAAACAATAATGTACAGTATATGGAAAATAATGTGTTTTTTTAACCTTAAACCGCATAAACACACTTCATTACACCAAATACACAAAATAATGTTCTTTTTAGCAGCATCATATGACCCCTTTAAAAATTAGAAGGTAAAAAAACATATATACATACAAGAATTGTTCATAATAACATCTTTAACATGCATTAAAGGGATAGTTCATCCAAAAAAATGAAAGTTTTTTTTATCATTTACTTAAACTTAAACTCTGCGGACCCGGATACGGGTCCAAAATCACGTAAAAATGTTTATGCTTCATTTGCAAAGCCTTCCTTATATGGTATCAGCCCATATATGGTATCATTTGAAAGCTTAGAGTGTCTTATTTACAACGAATACCATTACTTTTGGTTTTATGATACATAAAGCAGTAAAATGAAGCTTAGAAATTTATTTGTCCCACACACAAATTTCCGCCTAATGATTGCGAATAATTTTTCCGAAGAATGTGTATTTTCTATATTTTTCACGAAACAGTCAAGTCATATATCACAAGAAAGCTCTTATTCTCAGGAATTTGACTATGTAGTTTATCTGATTGTGTGACAATCACAGATCGAATGACCTTCAATAGAATCGCGATGTTAAATTTGATACCTCTGAGGAAACATTCAGATGTGTCACATTCCTACTTGCACGATTGCTTCAGTCAGCCCAAACAGCCAAAAATGACACCATTTTTTTTCATTTCCTCCATTGTATGTGTGTAGGGTAAACATTTGAATTTGGGTATGTCAAATTTAGGCAAAAATACACAAAAACGCCCCAGAGCTTTTAAGTTATTTCAAACCTGCATGCATTTCTTTCTTCTGCTGAACACAAAAGGAGATATTTTGAAGAATGGAAGTCAATGGGGACCATCAACTGTATGTTATCCATATTCTTCATTATATCTTATTTTGTGTTCTGCAGAAGAAATTCATACAGGTTTAGAACAACTTCAGGATAAGTAAATGATGAAAGATTTTAAATTTTTGGATGAACTTTAACAAAATAGATAGGCTGATTTTTTATTTCAACCTTAAATAAGCTTCCTCAGAGACACTTCTGTAAATATTCTGTAAATAATTCCAAAAAAGCAACTCAATCTGCAACTGCCCATATTTATAGGTAATTTTATAGAGAAAAAAAGCCCCAAATCACTTACAATACATGAACACCCTTACCAAAAAGTAGTATACTTCAAGTTTAAGTAAGTATACTTAAGTAAAGTTCAAGTATATTTTTAAGTATAGGAACACAAGTATAGCTCAAATATATTTAGTATAAGTCAAGTATACTTAAATGTCATTTTAAGTATATTTCTGAGAAGTACAGAAAGCCCATTTCTGAGAAGTACATAAAAAGTAGACTAAAAGTATACTTTCCTATTTTTAGTTTAAAAGAAGTATACTAATAGCACACTTGAATAAACTTCTTTTTCGTAAGGGCATGCCAACACTAATACATTTTTCTACATGTGTTTTCTGACTGAGAATTTAGAACTACTGTTTGTGTTGTCATGCATTCTTGTTTTGCTTTAATTACCTTCTTGAAAATAGTTTATGGTCGAAGGTTGCCTTTACTCTTACATGTTATTGAATTTGTGTTGTTGCACTTATATTTTGTTTATTTTCTTGACTAGATTAAATCGAAGGTATTTTAATGAACTACCTGAGTACACTCAGATATCTTATCACTTAATGCAACATTTGTTTCTTGTTTCTCGACTACAGGAGCCTCTTGCGCTACTCAACAAGCCCCTCATTTCCTGGTGCTTTAATAGGGACCGGAGTTGTGTCCCTCCTGTTTGACTGATTATTAGAGTGACCTGAGGGTGAGTGTAAACTACTCAAGCTCATTGTGAGGCCCATGACACAGGAAAGGCAAGTGTAAAACATGAGGGTCTTACCCCAATTACCGTACAGAAGTGACCTGCCCAATGGCGGTTTGAGAGCAACAAGCTTTGCTCGATTCATCTGCAGTAACCTGGAAGTACCTTAGTACTATAATGAACGACACACTATTGCTTCCTTCACTCTATAGCACGATTGCACGAGTACATATAAAACACCCATCACATATAAAGCTAACACACAAAAACAATTGTCCAGATGTTCAGTGTCAAATTCATAAGATGACACTGGCGAGATTACACACAAGCGTCGCTCTGCTTGGCTTTGTTTACAGAGCGTTGGGTCAAACTAGCATGCACCGAAAGAGTGCAGATGGTCTTGTTATTTGAGAGGCGATAGGTTAAATGAATTGTATCAGCACTAGCTGTCAGTCAGTCAGTCTACTAGTGCAACACTCCCCTGTCCGGGAATGCATTGTCTCCATTTAGTCTTACGAGAGGTCTAAAAGCTTCTTGTGTACATGTGTGCTGAACAAACTCATCGATAATCCTTAAAACATCGCAAATGATGTGACGCATGTCCACGTAAATCACTCACCTTCAGCTTTGGTGGTAATACTACAGTCATAGTACTTGTCTTATTGATAATATTGAGTAATCAGGTTGACACATAAAAGGGATAATTCACCCAAAAATGTATTCACACTTAAGACATTTTTGATGTTTTTGTCCATACAATGAAAGTCAATGGGGTCCAAAACAACACTGGGCCCCTCTGACTTTGACTGTATGGACAAAACAAAACGATTATGAAAGAAAATCATACAGGAGGGTGAGTAAATAATGACAGAATGGGTGAGGTATAATTTGAAAGGAGGGTCTCAAGTTCCTCGAGCCCACCTACATAATATCTGTCAATCTGTGTCGCTCTCTCTGATGTTAGTAACCGTACTGAAAGCAGTGGAGACATGTGGTGGGATTCTCCAAAGTAAACAGCTTTCATTGTGCCGAGACAGACATGCACAGTCATATGCACATTTATGCACTCTATTTAACATACAGACCACACATACTGTTGATATAAGACACTAAGCTTGAAGAGACATATTTAAATATAAGTAGGGCTTCCTGAACAACTGACATTTACAGTCACATATGAAGCCAAAAACAACAGCACATCTTAATAAAGCTCTACATACCCTCAACACAGGCCTCGTCTCAACTTCAATCGCTTGTTCCTTTCCTGATATCCTACACCATGTCTGAGGTCTGCTCTATCCGACAGGCACATACTACACCAAGCAGAGAGGAGGAGAAAAAATACAGCATGAATTAGCATTCCTAAAGCAATCATGTGACTTCAAAGCACCAGTAGGCTGCTCTGGATTCGGTATGATCCACCTCTAGCTCCTCCCTTCTCTTCTCTCTTGTTTCGCTCTCTTACAGAAACCTTTTGACAGGGTTGTTGTGATACATGTGGTCTGTCGATGCACCTATTTTTGCTATCAAACGTCTAATATTGAAAATCATACCCTCCGTATGTATAATCAAAGTAAATATGTGCAATGTGTAGAAGGGTATAGTATAATAAAAAAAACATATTTAGGTTTGTAAATACTGTAATATGTGAATGAAAATGCAAAAATGATGTCACAAAGAGGGTTTAAATGCAAGAAGTGTGAAGCAACAATGCATGTCTTTTTGCTGTCAGAATTCTAATATTTAAAATCATGCCCCCAGTTTGCATATTGAAAGTAAATATATACAATATATAGAAGAGTACAGTATAATAGCATAACAAAAATCACATATTTAGGGTTGCAAATACTATAATATGTGAATAATAATGCAAAATGGTGCCACAAATAGGGTGTTAATGCAAAAAGTGTGAAGCAGCAATGCTTTTGCTTTCAAATTTCTAATATTTAAATCAATTTGCATATTCAAGCAAATATATATACATATGATAGTATAATATAAATCCTATATTTAGGGTTGCAAATACTGTTCTATATGAATGAAAATGCAAAAAATGTCACAAATGTAAATGCAAAACGTGTGAAGCAGCAATGCATGTTTTTTTGCTAATTTCTAATATTAAAATCAGACCCTCAGTTTGCATATTCAAAGTAAATATATACATATGCATATATATATATATATATATATATAAAAGAATATAGTATGATAGTATAATATAAATCCCATATGTTGGGTTGGAAATACTGTTCTATGTGAACAAAAATGCAAAAATTGTGCCACAAAGAGGGTATAAATGCAAAAAGTGTGAAGCAGCAATGCATGTCTCCTGTCGTAGATGCTGTGAGAAAGCGGTTCAGTCTCAGTGCTGAGCAGAGGGAGGAATTGTAGTCTAACAACAGCGTCCTGTCTGCATGTGTGCACTATCCTCCATCTTATTAAGCCTCTGTGTCTCATTAGAGCCGGTGGGGGGTGGAAGCCTACAACACACCCTGACTTTTACGAGCCCACCTCAACAAAGAGCATTAAACAGCAATCATGGCTGAATGGTGAACACCTCAAGTACACAATTGCACCGGTCTCGCTCAAGGGTGATTCAAACAGTAGTTTTTTTTTTCTGTTGTAGCGTGAAGCAATAAAGTGGCTGGATGTGGAACAGGATGCTGCGATACTAAAAGCCGTTAAGTGATGGGAGGTGTAATAGTCTGGGACACACAGGTGCATAAGCAGCGTTGGCATACTTAAACAGGTCAGAGGACAGCCAGGAGAATGAACGGAGTGATTGTGATATTTTCTGCTCTGATAATACGTTCCTTATGCTTCTGTTATGTCTGTATGTATGTGTGTGTGTGTGTGTTTGTGAGAGAAAGAGAAGATCGTTATCTGGTAATGAGCCTGTACAGTGTTTTATGTTTTAGAAGAAGTGAGAGCCATTTAAACTAGGGAAGTATATCAGTGTTTTTAATTTAGATAACATGAAGACAACATGTACTGTAGCAGATTTAAATGATCCGTTTCATTTGTGATTGTAGCCAAAATAAATGATTAAGATATTATCTGGAAAATTTTTGCTTATTTTAATTATTTATGTTATGTATGCCGTCATACATAAATATTTACATTGTTCAACTCAATATTTGAAGTTGAATATGATTTCAATTCAAATGTGTTTGCATATTAATTTTAATAACATATGGTTTCAAAGCAGCTATAATGTAACAGAAAATAGAACCATTCAACTAGTGAGCAAGCAGGTGACAGTTGCAAAAAAAAAAAAAAAAAGGAAAAATGTATATTCATACTCGGTTTTTACTTGTTTACATTTTTCAAATAGCACTCTCTTGCCCTGGACCCCAGTTTGAAACCTCCCGATTTAGTCCACTTGTGGTTTATTGAGTTTATACACTACAAGAATATTTGTTGTGATTCTTGGTATGAGGTATAGCCATATGAGGTCTAGCCTTTGTTCTTGATTTGTATTAACAACTAGCTAATAATTAGTACAGGCATGTGAGCATCCACAATGGTAGGAAAACATTCGCCAAGAACATAAGAAAATGGAAATCCAAGACATTTTGTGTACTGAGTGTACTGAATAAGGGGAAGTCAATCTGGATATTTTAGCTCCTACCCTACATGTAAAGCAGGCCTGTGTTCTATAGTGGTTTGACGTGGCAATACATTATTTGAGGTTTTCTGACACGTTTTATTTAAATATCATTTGAACATGTTTGCATGACCATATCATCCAGATTGCAGTTTTTCAGGTGTGGTCACAATTGTGTATTATGTCTGTTTTATTAATATGTTATATTTGTTGAACTTTTTCAAAACGGAATTTTGATCATAGGCCGTTCAGTGAAACTCTTTGGAAACTTATGTTCAGCTGAGTCAACTATGTTTTAAAGGGGTCATATGATGCGATTTCAAGTTTTCCTTTCTCTTTGGAGTGTTACAAGCTCTTGGTGCATAAAGAAGATCTGTAAAGTTGCAAAGACTAAAGTCTCAAATCCAAAGAGATATTCTTTATAAAAGTTAAGAGTCAGCCACGCCTACCTAAAACGCCTCTTTCTAACACGCCCCCACATATCTAGTCATATATATATATATATATATATATATATATAGTCAGTAAGTAAAATGAAAGCTTGTTATGCAAGTCAGTGAGATCTTTATAGGTTATTAGATGATAATTAAATGCTTAGTTTTATGATCAAAGTTCTGTGGTTTTTATTGTGGGTGACAAAACATATAATACAATGCAAGGATGATAGAGAAATAAATGTTCCTCAAAAGCCTGAGGTATCATATTTGATATGCTATTTTTGCATGATTTAAAAAAAATAAAAAAATAGGTATGGATAATCAAGTAAACCTAAGTTGCTTCAGTCCAGTAAATATGCATCTTGAATCTGAATCTGAAATATTGAAAACACACACAGATATATATATACAGCATTTCTTGTAAGAAAGAGGTATCAAAAGACTCAGAAACTGAACTGAAAGACTAGTTTAGTTGTGCTGAAGTCTTTCTGATTACCAATAGCATACGCTCAATCAAATTAAAATGGCACATGATGAACACCTGATGTGTGACTGATTAGCATTAAGCTTGCCATAACATTTTATTCTAATAGATGTTACTGATGCAATAGGAAATGGTTTTTCATAAATCCAGTAAGGATTAAAGAGTGTAGGCCAATGCAGTGACCTGAATCCACTCTATATGGCTGATATGAACCAACATGAACGGCACTGACGTCATTGCTGCCACCACACAGGCACATTCCTTCTCAAAATTACCAACAAGGCATTGATAGATGGTTGGTAATTTTCATAGGAATTCACCCGACCAGCCAAGACAGTGAAGTTTCACAATGTTGTAAGGTTCCCTCAAGAAAACAGTGAAGGGAGCATTAAATTGAGAAATGGTTGCGTCACACATCTGTGTATCCGGTTAATAAGAACATCCCCTTTCAATTTCCAGAACAGTAAAGACTGACACTGGATTAGCAGGATCCATCACACTTTACAAAGCTGTTGTCATGGGCGAAAAAGAGCTCTCCCCCACTCAGTGCTGTTCCTTATCAGCCGTAAACGCCCCAGAGTCACTGTAATTGCCCCCATATATACGAGACGCTCACCCCTTTCCCTTCCATCTCCCCTGTGTTGAGCTGCAGAGGCGGACAAAGTACTCAACTCTATTACTTGAATGAAAGTACAGATACTGCTGGTCAAATATTACTCCATTACAAGTTATTACTGTGTTAATTCTGTGTTATTCCTGTGTTATTTCTGTTGTCATTGAGTTATTTCTGTGTTATTTCTATGTTATTACTGTGTTATTTCTGTGTTATTCGTGTGTTATTACTGTGTTAATCCTGTGTTATTACTGAGTTATTCCGGTGTTATTCCTGTGTTATATCTGTGTTATTATTGTGTTATTCCTGAGTAATTGCTGTGTTATTACTGTGTTATTACTGTTGTCACTGAGTTATTCCTGTGTTATTTCTGTGTTATTAATGTGTTAATTCTGTGTTATTCCTGTGTTATTACTTTGTTATTCCTGTGTTATTTCTGTTGTCAGTGTTATTCCTGTTTAATTTCTGTGTTATTACTGAGTTAATCCTGTTGTATTCCTGTGTTATTCCTTTGTTATATCTGTGTTATTAACGTGTTATTCATGCAAAGTATGTTGCAGCTGTTATTTCTATGAAATTATGTTGTCTTTGCTATTCTGTTACTAATAAAATAGTTTTTTTCACTGTTTATCCTATTTTGGCACAAACCCTAAACTGAACTTGAGTAGTTTTACTAAGGGCACCCATCTCACATGAAATTGAACTATGTCAAACATATTATACCTGCCTTCCTGATATAAATTACTATGAATTTGATATGGTAATTAATACTGAGACACTAATTTGGGCAAAGAGCA